TTAAATCACATTTTTTCGGGGTTTTATTTGTAAAATAATTTCGGAAAACTCACAATTCCCTGTTTTCGCTTGTCGACACCCATATATTACCCTAACTAATGTTTGATTTAATTAGTTGAGGCGCCACCCTAATGGATCGTGTGGGAAGAATTTTGAGGTAAAGCTGCATTATGTATTTATATAAGTCAAATGAATATCAAATCAATACAAATAATATGTAATAATTTTCAACCGCCCATTAACGACGAAACTTACATTGTTATGTGAACGTGATGAAATAAAGATCAAGAAAAATGACAAGATCATCAAATTTAACGGAATTAAAATACTTAGCATACCAAAAACCTTGACATAAATGCAAACAGTGGTAGCAAACTAATCAGTTTATATAATTGAAATCAAAATCGCATTTTTGTGATCAATATTCGATCCTTAAGATAATATCTAATTAAAAATAAAAATAAAGTGAAAATTAGCATTTTACATTTTTTAAATGAATTTAAATACCATTTAGCCATTATCAAGAGACTATATTAAAATATGCAAAGAAAAGAAAAAAACCTCTAAGCAATGATTGGGTTCGAACGTGCCTTGAAAGCGAATTCAATTTAGATCTTTAAATAGGTTATGACAATTCAATCTAAATTCAATAAGGCCATCCAAGATTAATTTATTGGTCTTCATAACCCGCCAAGTCAAATTTGAAAATTCTAAAAAATTTTTTATATGTTTTAATAATCGGGTGGGTTTTTAAAAAAAAAATTTTATATAAATTTATAAAATTTTATATATGAAATTTTTTTTTAAAAAAGCCAGCTGGCCAGGTCTATTTAAAGTTTCAGTTATAAAACCAAGTAATTAAATTTATGGCCTAAAATAGATAGATGAAAATAATTAAATGTTAAATGTGTAGCAAAAGAATCTTAGCATTGAGTTTATATATAACGTGACTGCCAACCAAATCTCGAGTTTAATTGCGTCGATAATCTCAAAACACCATTTTCAAAATAAGATCAAAAATTTTTGCGCAAAAGGAAAAAAAATATAGATAGCATAAAAATATGAAATAGCAAAAATTTTATTTTAATAAAGAATACTATAGTTAAATTGTAAGATATAAATGTTGGCTTAGATGTGAATATATTTTTTTTCAAAATCTATGGATCGTCTTTTATATGTGTTTATCGCTGTTTTTGAAATAGTTGAGAATAGTGAGCTTTACAAAAAAATTTTTTTTATGTGAATGCCTGAAAACCAGAAAACCCGAATAGTTTAGAACACTGATCGATAATCGATTCCGATTTACATATGCACTCGTATGATTGTTTCAATGTTCTAAACTAATCGGGTTTTCGGGTATTCGCATAAAAAATTTTTTTTTGTAAATCTTGCTATTCTCAACCATTTCGAAAACAGCAATAAATAAATTTCACATTTCACTTGACAGTTATTGCAGTTTGCAAAATTATGTGAAATTTGAAGATCATTAAAAAAGAATTTTTATTGCTCGATCAGATAACTTTATTTACACGAAGAACATATCATAGCCAGAAATGTAACCAAGAAGGAATCACATAGCTACAAAGAAAATCGGTTATGTAATGTTATCTGGTGACGTGAATGCTACTACAAAAGTTCTCGCACTGCAAAATACCTAATCACCAAAATATGAAAACATACTGCCTGCAGCAGCCGCAGAACCTATCAACACTAATCACTAGCTTACTAAATAGGTGTCAATATATCGCCCACTGCGAGACGGGCGTGAAAGGTGGGATGATAGAGCCAGCTTTCACTACAAGGTGAGCGAAAGATATTCTCTTCTACTAACCAAAGACTCTTAAATACGTTACTGATTACATACCAGAATCATATTATTACCTCTTGCTTCTCTTACCCGTTCCCTATGGTTATAGTAATTCATATTTCAACATTCATACGCAATCACACTATTAACCGGGAAAATACCTGCATCTAACATGATACCGTAAGACCATATACAAGAACCCAAAAGAAGTTAAACGACAAATTGGACATGTGATCCTATAAAGTCATCTGATCTCGCAATAATGATTGCTTTGCCACTTTGTTGACAATTTCCTCAGTAATCACCGATTACCAATTATTGAAGATTTCTTAACCATTTTTTGACTTTAGATTAGACAAAATTTGCGCATTTATTTTGTAAAAATTTGATTATTTTTTATAAAAATAAAAGTTGCACCATTTTGTAATATATTTGTAAAAATAGGAGTTGCACATTAAATATTCTATCAAATTTTTACAAAATGATAAATGTGGAAATTTTTTCTAAACTAAAGACAAAAATCAAATAATCGATAATCAATGATTACTTTTTTTTTTTAGAAAAAGATTTATGTCCTAACCACTTATAAAAATAACTAACCACTACCCACTCAACCTACAATTACTGATAAAAAAGAATTACAACAATTCGAACAAGAATATCTTAGCCCTCAAGAAGCCTATATTAAAGAGTGATTGTTGGATATTTTCAGTATTTTTTGTGCATAGAAGTATATGAAGAATATCTTCAGTTGAAGAGCATTTACAACATTTGTTCGTTATATATAAATTTGGATAGCAGATATTAAGATTTTGCATTGTTAAAGTCTCTATATAGTTAGTGACTTTAGCTAAATATGGCATGAGTCATCTGAATATGCTAAGATATAAGTTTTAGACACGTAATTAAAATGTAATCGGCACTTTATTATAAGCCCACCCAATTAAAAATATTCATTACAAATTCGATTGTAAAAAAAAAAAAAAAAAAAAAAGCCTACTTTGGTTACTTCTTTTTATCATAAAAATATTATTAAATATGTAATGATCCTTTAGATTTTACTAAGTATCATTCAAATTCGATTTTATAATTAGAGGAGATGCAACCATACATTGATACGAATGTTTGATTATTCATGTAATCAAATATCATGATCAAACCTCTAGAGACATTAAGGTTTTGGGTTAGGTAGAGCAATTGCAAAAACATAGTGATTGCATAAAGTAGCGTAAATCATTTCTAATTTATGCTATAAAATGCACATTCTATATATGATACAGCTTTGTTTCAATTTATAATTGCATATCTATAAATTCACACCTCTAGGTGCAAGTCCCTAAATACATGCGGCTAATTGTGGATGAAATAGTGAAGCGGATGTTTTGTAAAATATACAAATGAAATTTATCATTTGCCCATTGATAAAAATTTGGCAATGAATAAATACCATTGCCAACTCTGCTTGAGGAGTGAAATTTTGATGGCAATACTGGGTAATTGAACTGTAAATTTTTACTTAAACGGTAGAATTTGATTCGGAAATTTTAAATTGAGTCGAATTTAAAGTATGGCCAAATAGAAACTTTATAACTGATAAATTATACAAAAATAAATATAAAAGTAATAAAAGTAAAAAGTAAAAGTAAAAAGTAATTTCTGAAGAAATAAGCTATGCTACAGATAATAACGCTACACATAAGCCACTTCTATGAAATTTTTGAAGATCACACTGGAGTAATTGATCCATAGTCGGATTGATTAGATGTAACATTATTACGATCGTTTTTAAAAAGAAATCCCACAAATCCCACAATTGCCACAACCAAAAATCTCACAATTGCCATAACCAAAAAAACAATTCCAATAATAATTATTTTACCAATTAGGCGATTGTAAATATATTCCAGAAAACCTGGTAAAGAATAATAATCATTATAACGAGATAATAATGACCATTTATAAATTGATGGATTTGATATGTCCATTTTATAGATATTCCGAATAAACTCATCATCTGTTACGTTTACACCTTTAAAATTAAAAAACAATTAATAATAATAACAATAATAATGATTATTAAACAAAAAAGTGTAAAAAAAAAATAATAATAGAAATAATTTAGATTTAACCAGAGGTGAAATTCACCGGTCTAAGAATTTTTAGGGTTAGGGTGCAATTTAAGATGGATGGGTTTTATTAGAGTTGTTTGTGAAACTAGATTGAGTTGGTGAAACTGGTGACTATCTAAAATCTGATTGGCTATTATAGTAAACAGCAAATCAGATTTTAGATAGTCACCAGTTTCACCAACAACACTAGTTTTTATATAATATAATGTAGATTAGATATTTGGTCCCAATCTTAGTTCTCGTGAGGTTTTCAGGGACCTTGCCATTTTACTTAGAGTACCCGATCCTGTTTACTTAGTACGTTTTGAGATATAGCACCCTGGTGAATTTCACCTCCGATGAGCGTTAATAATTATAATTACCAAATGCTAGAATCATATAATTTTCAATTATGATTGATGTATGTTTGGCTACAGGTCCAATAGAATTTATTGCTTTTGGTGCTGTCCATTCATAATTAGAAGTGTTTAAAATTGCCAAATACGGGTAGGCAGGATAATTTGATAATTTATTACTAGTTCCACCA